AGAAACTACAAAAAAAAAAAAACAAGAACTTTTAAAATTAATTTATACTAATATCAATATATTTTCTTTTTCAAAATATTATTATATTTGTAAATTTATATTTTGCTCAAAGATAAAAACATTAACACTTTTAAAAATCATATAGATCGTGTTATAATATCGACAAAGATAGAATAAAACAAACATAAAAATCGAAAAGTATCTCGTTGCATTACGCGATTATCCTTCTAGTATATATATGAGTTAGATTGCAAACCGTCTATTTCATGCAAACTATGAAACCACCATCAACTAATAGAATAATTCAATGTTTTTATCTTTATTTTTAATAAATAAAGGTATAAATGTCATTTTATTTTATAATGGTTAATCTTGATAATGTTTTAATTGTTTTTAAATATGAAAAACTAAATATGGTAACTATTTTTAAGGAAGATATAAATCTATTTATTTTAATATATAATTATTACCATTAATATTTTATATTCTTTTATTAATTTAAAAATATTGCATTCAATGATATTCTTTTTGTAATAATTTATTTCTTATTAAATCACAAGTAGTTATTGATTTATTAATAATATAGTTGTGATATTTTCTATATTTTGAGTATATTGTTTTGTTTTCATTCGTAAAACAAATGTCATTAATGAAACAATGTTATACAGTTTTCAAAATGAAACTAATTTCATTTTAGTTAGAAACCATGAAACTGCTTTCATTAATGAAATAATAGTATTCAGATCTTAAAATGTTTCATTGACTGAACCATATTTGGTTTCATTAATTAAACCAATTTCATCTTGTTTATAAACCATGAAACCGATTCCATTTTGGTTAGGAAACATGAAACAAATTTAAAAGGAATGAAATATTATTATTTAGTTCTTGAAGTGTTTTATTGACTGAACAATATTTAGTTTCATATGTAAAACCGAGTTCAACTTGCTTAGAAACCATGAAACCGATTTCATTTTGGTTAGAAAACATTTCAACAAATTTTACTACTAAAGCAATGTCATTCAGTTTTTTGAATTGTGGAGTCCATGAAACCAATTTCAGTGATGAAACGAATTTCATTAACGAAAACATGTTATTCAAATTTTTGGAAAATGTTCCATTGACTAAACCATATCTGCTCAAATTTCATTATATAGACGAATAATGAAACTAATTTCACTGTTGATGTATTCTCATCATGAATCAGACTGGTATGAAACAAGTTTTGGATTGGTATGAAAGAGGTTTCATATTACGTCAATCTGTTTCATTAACCAGTCCAGTCCCAAATAATATATTTTGCCACGTTGTTAGTAAAAAGATGTTTTTTAGGAACTTGATATGTCAAATATATCAATGGAAGGAACGTCAATGAAACAATGATTTGTTTTTCTAATATAATATGATTGAAAGTTAAAATGGTTTGCCAATTTTGTCATTTCTTGATTAAATATTAAACCTTTTATTTTATTTTATTTCATTTTTACTTTCCTAATATAACATATTTTAATCATGATCATTGATCAAAAAAATGGATGGAAGATATTGGTTTAAAAGGTTTGCACAAAAGGGAGTGATTTACATTTGGTCTTACGGGTCTCATGAAAAACCTTTGGTCTCACGTGAACTCAACCATATATATATATATATATATATATATATATATATATATATATAGAGGCTGGTTCAAATACTAACCAAGATTATCGTGTTAACTTTGTTAACCGATCTTGGTTGTTGATTTAAACATCCAACGGTTGTCATTTATTGAGACTAAAAATTTAATTATTTAATTACCATATTAATAATAAAAAAATTAGGTTCACAATGGTTCAGAGAGTAGAATTGTAAAAAGTGAATGATTTTAACGTATCCTATTTTGTCAGCCTATTATGTAACTTCCAATCAATAAAGAAATTGTCAATCTCATCGATCAATATCTTAAATCAGTAGCTAAAAATTAGGTTCATAATCTTTATCAAAACAATGGAGGATTTGGAAGGATTACCAGGCAACGACATCCAGATAAGATTGAAACATTTGTGTGAACCTAATGAACAATTGAAAAATTAGGTTCATAATCTTCATCAAAACAATGTGTGAACCTAATGAACAATTGAAAAATTAGGTTCATAATCTTCATCAAAACAATGTGTGAACCTAATGAACAATTGAAACATGTGTGTGAACCAAATGGACATATTGTGTGAACCAATTGAACACATATGTGCACGAGTGAACACATATGTGCACGAGTGAACACATATGTCGATGTTTGAGTGAACATGTGCGTGAACGGTTTGATCATTTTTTTCACTTTTCGGAATTTGAATTCCGAATGTATTCGTAGACGCTTTTAGCTTTTTCATTCTCATTGTCATCGATCTGTTATATTCTATGATTATCTATATTACTCGGACTATAACGTAATCTTCACAAAAGAGACTTTTTTGAAATTTACAATATCAAAACCATTGTAGGAAAAATGAAATGTAAAAATCAGTAAGATGAACAAATGTGAAACTTCATGTCATTATTACATGAAGATCAATTAGTGATATCTTAAGATTTGTAACTCCCAATTAAAATATTGGGGAGTTACATAAAAATGACAAATTACCTAAATACCCTTACACTTAATATGTGAGTTACATTTGAACCTAACTAAAAGATGGAACATGATTGGTTGATGTTGGTTAGCATAATTAACACAAAAAAATGGGTAGTATTTGAACCAACCTCTCTCTCTCTCTCTCTCTCTCTCTATATATATATATATATATACTTAGGATCATGTGAGACCAATGGTTTTCGTGAGACCCGTAAGACCAATTCTCAATCCTTAGATTAGATCTATAATATGACAATCTAAACATTCATAAACGCCACGAGATTTCTCAATAATCACAAAATTGCCACCGTGCAATTTAGACCGTTAGATCATTAACTTATAAAGTTGATCAATGACCATAAATTGGTCTTACGGGTCTCACGAAAAACCTTTGGTCTCACGTGAACCCAACCCTATATATATATACTATCTTATTAAGCAAATTTAGCAAAAGTCTTAAAAGTCTTAAAATACTAAATGACCAAGATACCCTTACTTTTTCACCCCCTCCCTCCTCACATACACTCACCCCCTCACATACACTCACCCTCTCACACTTGAACGATTTTTTTAAAATTATAATTTTAAATTTACACTTTATACCTCTATAATTAATTAATTAATTTACTTTACGTCATTACTTTTAAATGTTTCATTTTAAACATTTATCAAATTAACATACATAATCGTATATCAATTAAAATATGTTTAAAAATACATTTTTATTTTAACAAGTTACACCATTATAATCGTCTCGTTAATACCTTCGAAATGAGCCCAATATTGAATAGTTTTTGACTTAATTATATTATTATATATTATATATACTGTGAAAAAATATTTTTAATATTTACGATTCATACTTTTATAGTTATTTATTTAATTTATGATACATCATTTATTTTTACACCATTATCATATTAAAATACATTAGCTAAAATACGTTAAAATACATTATACTTAATTAATTTATTTTTAAAAATTATTTTTACACTTTTATCATATTTACATACATAAACATATATTAGCTCAAATACGTTAAAAAATACGTTTTATTTTAACAAATTACACCATTATAATCGTCTCGTTAATCTCTTCGAAATAAAATGTTTTTTTTGCCAAAAATATGTCTGTTCGTTCAAAATAAAATATTCATATTCAGACTGAAAGGAAAAACGTTTTCCATTTGGCTTGGTCTTGCTATGACAATCATGTGTTTATCTGTTGTAATCGTCAATCATTATTCTCACTTACATAAAACTTATACCCCGCTATATTGTGCGAGTACAAAACTAGTATATATATATATATATATAATTCATAAACGTGAGTGAGGAGGAAAACTTATGAATAAAAAATCAGAAAAGAAAACGATTTGCTAAAAACTTAGGTCCTCCACCTCACAAGTAGATGAAGCTAAACCTCATAAACCTCCATAAATTTATAGAAATCAAATATTTTTAGAAAGAGATTGATTTAGAGACTAGAGAGAGAGAGAGAGAGAGAGTTTCAATGGCGACAACCAACACCACCACCACCCAGTATCCAGACGACTTCAAATGCCCGATTTCTCTAGAGATAATGTCGGAACCAGTCATCCTTTCCTCCGGCCACACCTTTGACCGCCCTTCCATCCAACGATGGCTTGACGCCGGCCACCGTACCTGCCCCATCACCAAACTCCCCCTTTCCGACACCCCTTCTTTAATCCCCAATCACGCCCTTCGGAGCTTGATTTCCACTTACACCGCCTCCTCCGTCGCAAACGCCGCCCTCACTTTATCAAAACCTCATCATATTCGAGAACACCCGGAAACCCTAATTTCAAATTTGACATCCAAGTCGTCTTCGCCGGAGGTCAAGCTCGTTTCAATCGAACACCTTTGCCAGCTTTCGAAACGTGATTTCGAGCTTCGGAAGCGGTTGACGGAGTCCGGAGCCGTGGCGGCTTTGCTCGGTTGCGTTTCGTTAAAAAACTGTGTCAATTTGCAAGAGAAATCGTTGAAATTGCTGTTGAATTTGAGTCTTGATGATGATAACAAGGTGGGTTTGGTGGCGGAGGGTGCAATTTGTCACATCATCGCGGCTTTATGCGACGGCGAGTCCGCCGATTGTCGGGCGACGGCGGCGACGGTTTTGACGAGTCTTGCGGTAGTGGAAGTGAATAAAGCCACAATTGGAGCATACCCTTTTGCGATTAGAGGGTTAGTGAAGCTACTGAACAACGGCGTTGGACGAGAACGGAAAGAAGCCGCCACCGCGCTTTACGCTCTCTGCTCGTTTCCGGATAACCGGAGACGGGCGGTGGAATGTGGGGCGGTTGAGATTCTTGTGAATTCGTTGGATTCGGGGCTCGAACGGGCCGTTGAAGTTCTGGGATTATTGGCAAAATGCAAAAGAGGGAGAGAAGAAATGGTGAGGTTCAATGGGTGTGTCAAGATTTTGATTCATGTGGTTAGAAATGGAAGCTCAAGAGGGGTTCAGTATGCACTTTTGACATTGACTTCACTCTGTTTGAGCAGTGAAGTGATTTGTATGGAGGCATTGAAGGAAGGTGTGTTTGAATTGTGTTTGAGGTTCTTGGAAGATGATAACGAGAAGGTTAGACGAAATGCTTCGAGTTTGATCAAGGTTTTCGGTGGCGCCGGATGCATTTAGGGTTCTTGAAAATCTTGATGGGTATATGGTGATGGTGATGGTGATGGTGATCCAATTCTCCATTTGTGTAGGTCAGTTTGTGTTCTAATCTTTCTGTTTTAAAGATTTCTTGAAAAAAGAAAAGAAAAAGCTTAGATTTTGGTCGAAATCATGTTGTCAATTGGTTATGTTGTACATTTTGCAATAAATTTGGCCAAAACAAAAGGGTTAGGAGGTTTCTTGATGTAATGTGTCAATAGAAAGTTGCAAATTTTGGTTCAAATTGGTGTGTTTATATATTGATTCATTTCCTTAGCATAGTGAACATCGTAACACACACCAACACGATCATACCGGAATCTTGCTTGTAGATTGTTTTTGGTTCTTTGGTTTACCTTGAATCGTGTCGAAAAATGAGGTCCCATGCTTATGCAACCACGATGATTGTGATTGTGAATCGTGACCGTGAGTCTTGGGTGTTTGTTATTGGCCATCAACAACATCCCGTCAATGTTTTAACAGTTTGGAGGTTATATGGGTCGGTTTGTTGCTTTGGCGTGTGGCGTTGTAGATGATCGAGGGGTCTTCATGGAAACAATCTCTCTCTCCCCTTTTGGGTAGAGACAAGATCCGCGTATATAATACCCGTAGACCTTACCTCTGTATGGGATATATTGAGTTCGTTTGAGGCAATATCCGCATACATCTTATCCCAAGACCCTACCTCTGTATGCATTGGGATATACTGGTTTGGTTTCGTTTGGTTTGGTTTGGTTTGGTTTGGTTGTGTAGATTGCCTCTTGGCTTGACCTATGGTTTACAGTGCACACGAGGCTCGATGATGGTGTTAGAATATGAGTAGGTGACATCATGTCCGCTTTTGTTGTGATTTTGAACGGTTAACCCCAAACAAGTCTTTGGTCTTGGCCTCAATTCTTCTCATCATTAGTTTAATTTTTTTGGAACGATATGCTTCTTTGGGATAACGCGTTAGCGTTATAGATGGAACAACCTACTTTATGGAAACAACTGTTCTACTTTCTGGGGTAGAGGACAGGTTTTGCATACGTCTGATCCACCTTAACAAGTGGGACTTACAGGATGTGTTTGGCTTTTAACCTTGAATGTAGGCAAATTGGTGAACCATGTAGATATCATCTTGAATTTCTTACTTACGTCGAGTAGACATGGGCCATCAAACTTGTATATATATATATATAAGGTTGGGTTCACGTGAGACTAGTCTGTTTTCGTGAGAGACCCGTGAGACCACTTTTTTACATTTGAAACTTCATAGCAAAACGCTGTGAAGGTAAAAAAAAGCCGAACCTTCACAGCAAAAACACTGTGAAGGTTACTTTCACAGCGTCTTGCTGTGAAGGTTCAAGTGTAAAAAAGTGGTCTCACGGGTCTCATAAAAACAGACTGGTCTCACGTGATCCCAAGTGTGTCTCTCTCTATATATGTATATATGAACCTTCATTATGTTCTCGAGGGCTCGTTTAGATCAAAGGGATTCCGTAAATCCTAACACGGTATTAGAGCAGGGTCTATCTCATCCAGCTGCTTCTACTTCAGCTGAACACAAATTTTCATTCAGGTAAACCACGAAAAATTGTCGTAACTTCTATCTTGCATATTGTACCATATCTAATGCATGAAATACAAGATTTGATGCAGGTAAAGATGGTCAACTTCCGTATGTCAACCGTTCGAATTGTCAAGTTTTAGTTCATCTGTCTACTGTCATGATATTTTTTAAATTGATTGCAGATCGAATCAATCCAACAACTTCGGCATAATCTGTGTCATCGAGCGAAAACGGTCAAATATCCAGAAAATGACGAACAAACATTCTAGGTATGTTTTTCTTCACGAAGATTTACCGCATAGAAATCGAAAGCGACGTGCAAATCCTTCTGGATTGATTTGGTGAAATCGGACGATCCAACAACTCCTGCCGGCCTATGAAAGCGATGTTTTTTCCCTAGTAAACGATTTCCGTTTATATTTTATCGGTACAACTGTCTGTTTTTCTTAAAGCGAGTATGGTTGTTCGGTTTTTATCTGTTAATTTGTCATTCTGTAAAGATGCCCGCCTTCATGGCGTCGCGAGTTCTCATTATTTGCATCCGAAGATACGTGTGGTAGGTGACGGAGTTTAGTTAGCGCTGGTTTTTAGTCGGCGGCTCGATTTTCAACAAAAGCGAGCGTGGGACATATGGTTGTCAATTTGCTTCGGTTTGAATTAGTTGCCGGTAGAGATGCACAAAAAAGCAAAGCCCGGTCCAAGCCTGAAAAATGCCATGGGAGTAGAGGTGGCCAAAAATCGGTCCCGGGCCGGGCCATAACCGGTTGCGGCCGGTCCCGATCAAGACAAAAACGTGTCATAACCGGTCCCGGTTCCGGTGAAATCCTCCATAACCGGTCAAGCTTACCGGTAACCGGTTAAGCCGTCCGGTCACGGTTCCGGTCCCATAACCGGTTACGGCCGGTCCTTTGCAAAAAAAAATATTTTTTTTTCAAATTTTTGGTAATTAAAAAATTTATAATATGTTATTAATATCTTTGAAATATGTTATTGTTAATATGTTTTATTATAAATACGTTTTATTATAAATATGTTTTAAAATACGTTTTGTTATATATATACGTTTAAAAATATGTTTTGTTATATATATATATATATATATATATATATGTTTAATTTTATAAATACGTTTTGTTATATATATATATATATATATATATATATATATATACACGTTGACTTTTGTTGACTGGGCCGGTCCTATAACCGGTTACATAACTGGTTCCGGTCTTAACCGGTCTCGGTCCTATAAAACGTTAAAATCCATAACCGGTTCATAACCGGCGGTCCACAACCGGTTCATACTGGTCCCGGGCCGGTTCCGGTCCCTCTCCGGTCTCAGTTCCGGTCCTCCGACGGTTACGGGCCGGGCCGGACCCATTTGGCCATCTCTACATGGGAGTAAAGTTGGGCTTGGATGGGCCGAGTCTAGCAGGCGGTACCGCCTGTGAACAACTCTAAAGCCCGAATGAGAAAAAGTCGACTGCCATCGGGCCCTTTTTCAACCCTAAAGCCCGTGTTCTTTTAGGTTATTGAAAAATAAGCTTGGAAGTCTTGTAGCCGGTCCCAAAAAATCCGAGGCTTGTGCATCTGTGGTTGTTGGCTTATCGGTTCATAAAGGTATAAGCTCAAACCGAAACGTCCATCGTCCGTACTTTCACTTATGATAATATCCAACGATCTCGATAATCTTGATAGGCCTTTAGGTACTTGTATCGTACAACTCATGCAAGCTCATGGGGTGGTGTTTAGAGACTCCTAATTAGGGGTGCACAAAAAACCGTCAACCCGCGAAACCCGCCCAACCCAGTTAAACTCAACCCGCCAAACCGCCCACCCGCCAAACCGCTAACCCGCCAATTAGGAGGGTTGAAATTGGCTCAACCCGCTGCCCCGCCGCTACTATATAATTTTTATAAAATTTTATTTATACATGTTTATTATGTATATATAAACTTGGGATCATGTGAGATCAAGAGTTTTTCGTGAGACCTGTAAGACCAATTCTCAACTATTGGATTAGATCTACAATCTCAACATTCATAATCACAAAATTGCCACCGTGCAACTTTAGACCATTAGATCATTAGCTTATAAAGTTGATCAATAAACATAAATTGGTCTTACGGGTCTCACGAAAAACCTTTGATCACACGTGAACCCAACCCTGTGTGTGTATATATATATATATATATATATATAAATTTTATATAATTTTTATTGATATTATGTTTTGTTTCATTTTAGCTAAACGTATAGGTTACCAAAAGAGATTCACGATTAAAGAATGATGACACAATCTAATTAATAAGAAAAATTATTGAATTTTTTTTGCAGCAATAACAAATTGATATGTTGTAGAATATGAATAATATTGATAGATATTTGATGGACGAATCTATCAATTTAAATACCCCGTCATTTGATATTGTAGTTTAGTGGAAATAAAATGCATAGTTATAGCATTTCGCTACAACAATATTAGATCTTATAGGATGCCTAAAATGTCTAAGCGTCCTAATATGATATTTTATAGGACGAAACAAAAAAAAATGTCTTATCTAAAAGAGTTACAATATGTTTATAGAATGATTTTGGACATCTTAACAAATTCTTTGACGCTTTTAAAATAAAGTGTCGTATTAGTTATTTTATATGATACGACTTACAAAAGTGTCATATGAACATAGATGTCCTATAAATAGATGAGTTTACGAGACATTTCTCAAAATGTTTCTATAAAATAACTAATACGACATTTTATTTAAAGATCATTCTAAAACACTTGTTGGAACGTCCAAAAACGTCCTATAAACCTATTGTAACCTTGTTAGATATGACATTTTATAGTATGGTTTATAAACTTAAGTTTTATGAATTAGTTCATTCGTCAAATTATGTAACTACTAACCCGCCAACCCAACCCAACCCAACCCAACCCGTCTTAACCCGCAAGAGTTGGTTTGGGTTGGGTTATACTTTTGAATGGGTTGGGTTGGGTTGAGATTTTTTCAAACCATGATAATTGGGTTGAGTTGTAAAAATGTTGTAAACCGCCCAACCCAACCCGCACACACCCCTACTCCTAATTGGGAAGGAAGCCCATAACTTTTGATGTTAAGTGGGCTTGGCCCAAAGCCCAACTTTACTCCCATGGCATTCATGTTGTTTGGGCCTAGCCCGGTATCGGTAATGGCATGGCGGATAACCCGAAAGCAACGATTTTTGTCCCGTCACAGATCTTGGTTGAGTTTCGTGTCATCGAGGTTGTGGGAATTAGAGGCAAAACCAATTTTTTGTGTAGCGGGAATACAAAATAATTGATCTTTTTTTTCCGATGTTACCAAAAAAATTAAAATAGAGCGTTAATTTACCTGAACTTTGCAACTTGTAACGTTACATGCAAAGAGACTGCTCGTAGATTATAGCAACTTTTTGTTAACTAACAAATAAATGATAGGCCTTGGGGAGTTGGGGTTACCATGAGATATTTTCCTAGTTATTTCAGAGGATTTGAGATCATGTGAGATCAGACTGTTTTCATAAAACCCGTGAGATCATTTTTTTACACTTGAAACTTCACAACAAAACGTTGTGAAGGTAACTTTCACAGTGTTTTTGATGTGAAGGTTCAAATTTTGTTTATTTTCACAATCTTTTGTTGCGAATTTGTGCAAACCAATGAGATGTGATTTTCTTGTAATATAAAATCAGTACAATTCCTTATTAAAAAATAAAATACGAATTTATGTTTGAACAAGATAGATAATGCTAAAGGGCCTTTAGCCTAGTTGTATTGTAGTTCTTGACTTTTTCTGAGGTTTGAGGTTCAAACCTCATCAAATTTGAGAAGGGTGTGTGAGTTTATCTGTTGCATTTGTCGTATATAAATATTATATATACTTCAAAAAAAGATAGATTGTGCAATGATTTGTATTGATATGTGAAAATTATTACAATTATCGGTTATTATCTCTAACCACCTCTCAGTTATACCCATATTTTTTAAAGAGCTAACTCAGCTGTCTATACTATATAATAAGAAATCAAAACCACAAGGGTGGTGTCTGATTGGTTTAAGCTTGAGTTCCAAAGGTCAAAAGTGCCTGGAGGTCCTAGGTTCAAATCCAAGGAGAAATAAAAACCCCCTTTATGGCCACAGAGGTTCAAATGCGGTAACTCCGAGCTACCCGCAAAACAAATAACCGTCCTGAGATTAATCGGCTTGCATAGCGGACTGGATATCCAGGTTAATAAAAAAATTAAGACAGAATACAGTTATATCTAATTGAAACAATAGAAACTAAATTCTTGGATTCCTTTTCAATCATGAAACACACTTTGCACTTTGTTGCTCCACATGAAACATGCTTTCATGCATTCCATTTTATTTTAGTCAAAGAAATTTAAAGAACACAACTCTTAATGCATTAATAATTTGTATTTTGATGTCGTTTATTAAACGCTTATCCGGTAAGTGTTTATTGAGTAATTTTTCTTACCGAATGAGCATGACAAGGGTCAAAAATCTAACCCGGTAAGAGCAATGATAAAGATGAAAAGTCTTACTCGGTAAGTGAGGGTGATGACTCTTACCCGGGTAAGCGCTTACCGGGTAAATTGTTGAATACAATACCATTTTGATGTACTACAATATTATCAGGTAAAATAAATTACAGTGTTGACTCATAACGGTAAGCACTTACCGGGTAAACATCTAGGTAAACAACCCCTTAATGTTTAATCGAATTGGTGGCTTCTTCAAATGGAAACAAAAATGCATGAAAACGATAACTATAGTTGTAATATTAGTTCCATTAAATTAAGGGTATTCTGGTCTTTTTACTTATATATATATATATATATATATCCGTATAGCAATATATAAAAAGAGTAAATTACACACGTATCGTCCTTGTCGTTCGTGATCCCCCATCGGTGTTCCCTTCTGCCACTCCATGTTTCCGACGAAACCTCCCTTCCTCCATCAGTGTCCCCTTCTTTTCCACTCCAACGATTCCACCTCCTTCCACACTTGTTACTTTGGCGATTTCGTTCCATACACTAGATCTAGGTTCGACACACACTTCAACCGTTTTGTCCTTCACATCGCGACTCTAGCAACGACCTCCTTTTTCTTCAACAACCATGATCTATCGATCCTCTTCCATCTCCACACACTTCGGCGATTTCGTCCCTCAGACCGGAACCAGACCATCTTCAACAGACTGAGGCTTCAACTCACCCGTGAAACCATGGATGCTTCAGTATGAATAAAGTTCCAATTAAAGAGTTTGAGTTTGATTTTTGTTCTCTCTTGTTTATCTACGCTCGAGTCTAATTTGTGTTTTATGAATGTTCTTTCTTATTCGATTAAATAAAGAGTAAAAGTAAAAAAAAATCCCGTCATATGAGGGGATTAACAGACTGAAGTTAACAGGTGTTAATGATGGGGACCAAATTCGTAACGATAATGAAACCACATGCACTCGATCCATTAAAAAAATTGTGAGGGACCTAATCCGTAACTTTGATATAACCACATGGATGATATGTGTAATTTACTCAAATGTTTATTTCTATTCTCAAGAGAGAAGGAAAAGAAAATATGTCATTTTTACAAATATATCCTTTAAAAATATA